AGGAGCAGCCCAGCTCCCTGCCAGCCTTCGTCATCCCCGAGCTGCGGCTCGACAGTTCCTTCAGCCAGAGCGCGGCAGGCGTGGCAGGCAGCACGACGGATGGCGAGGACGATGTGGAGGATGATGAGGAGGAAGATGAGGATGAGGAGGATGAGGAGGAGGACAGCGACGAGCACTACTTGGAGAGGAACGAGGCGAAGCGCAGCAGCATGATCGAGACGTCGGGCTGTCAGCCCGTCTACACGCTGAGCGTGCAGAGTTCCCTGCGGCGCCGGACCCACAGTGAGGGCAGCCTGCTGCAGGAGGCCAAGAGCCACTGCTTCACCTCCGACACCACCCTCAACTGCTCGGACAGCCAGGGCACCAAGGGCCACTGGGCCCTGCCCTCCCCCAGGACCCTCAAGAAAGAGCTCGCCAAAAACGGCGGATCCATCCACCAGCTCACCCTGCTGTTCTCGGGCCACAGGAAGGTATGTGAGCCGGCGCTGGCTCCACGGGGCGGCTGGCTCCTGCTTGGCCGTGGGGATGGGGGAGCTCCTGGGGTGGAGATGTGCCAGCATGTGGCCCCTCTCTCAATGGCCATGGCAAAGCTGGTATTTGAGGGGCCAGGAAGGTCCCTGCCACAGGCAGTCAGCTCTGGGAGATGCTTAGCACCCAGGGGATGTCACCCAGAGCCAGTGTGCTGGTGCTGTAGATGGGCATCTCCCACCAATGCAGATCCTACAGGATCCCGTGTCCTGGAGAGCTGCTGTCTGCTGGGACTGGTGGAGGAGAGGTGCACCCGGGTGTCTGCACTTGCAAAGAGCTGCTCGCAGTGGCAGGGGGGGGGGAAAAAAAGGTTCTGGAGGGCAACCCCGGGGTGGGGAAAAAACAGGTTCTGGAGAGCCTCCGGTGACAAAGAGTCCCCGGTGTGCTCGGGGATGCCAGGAGCAGTATGGCGTTCTGCTCCAGCCAGCCTCTTGCAGGGCTTTGACCATCGTCCAGGGGCCCATCTCAGAGAAAGGTTGAGGTCAGCAGCGATTTCTGACCCTGCCATGCAGAAAGGAGGAGCAGCGGAGGGCCGTGCAGCAGGAGCTCTGCAGGGGGCTGGCCCGTGCTCACGGGGCCGGCTGTCTGGGGTGCTCCCCGAGCCTCCCTGGAGCAGAGCTTGCCTTGGCTGTACTTTTGCATAACAAATATTTACAGGAAACAATGTGCCATTGCAGAGATTGTGTGTGAGAAGTGCTGCTTGTCCTGTTCTCCCCGGGTGAAGCCTGGCTGGGCGCTGAGAGCAGCTGCCCGCCTTCCTGCGGCACTGGCCCAGCACCCTGATCTGCCTGACCATGCTCGTGCTGGCTTGATCTCTGCCAGCGGCTGTGGGCATTGCTCTGCTCGGGGCTGCATTGCATGGCTCAGGACCACATTGCATTGCTTGCAGTCATGATGCACAGCTCAGGACCTTGTTGCATGGCTCAAGACTACGTTGCATGGCTCAGGACCATGTCATGCTGCTTGGGACCACCTTGCCGTGCTCAGGACCACATTGCGTGCTGCTCCACAGCAGCTGGCTCCTGGGCAGGAGAGGCTGGTACAGAGCCCTGCATGCCACCAAGCACGGCTGGATGATGAGGTTAAACCCTTGATGGGGTTAACCCTCTTCCTGCCAGGCTCATGCTGCTTGAAAAGTCACCTCTGGTGCTGTTTGCTGGAGCACTTTTTGGGCTCAGAGCCCCCGGCCAGCTGGTGAGAGCCCTGACAAGTCTGACAGGCTGGTCAGATGGGGCTGCTGTGCAAAAGGGGAGCCCAAACCCTCTTGGAGGCTGATGCCAGCAATTGTGGGCTGGGGGGTTCAGACCCCCTCCCAGATCCTATCAAGAAGGGTCACCTTCGTGGCAGGGACACCGGCGGCTGCCTGGCGCAGATGCAGGGGAGGTGGTGTCAGTGTCGGTGCCTGGTGAGAGTGTCCCGTTAGGGCTGCAGTGACGAGGCTCCTGGAAAGAGGTTTCACAGGGCCGCTGTGCGGGAGCGCACAGCTCTGCGGCCGGAGGCTGCTGCTGCGCTGGCTGAGACCAGGCGGGCTGCGCCCTCGCTGCTGGGGGGAGACCCCGGGAACGTACCCCGCTCCTGCCCCGGAGAGCCCCCAGCTGTGCTTTCTGGGCTGATCTGCGTGGGTGTTTTTCAGCGGGGGCAAACTGAGCTCCTCCTGCCTTAAACTGCTCTGGTGCAGATGAGACCAGGATTTTTTTGGAGCGGGGACCCGGGCAACCGGTGCCGATGGTGAGGGCAGCGTGGCTGCTGGAACTCCTGGTGCTCCCACTTCCAGCCCTGCAGCAGCTCTGCCTGGCTCTGTATGGCCGGTGCCTTAACCCCCTGCCCGTATGCCCTCCTGGGGCACTCCCTGCCTGCTCCCATTGCCCTGCCTCTCCGGCTGCCTGCGGAGGGGCCAAGGCTGCCTGGGGGCCACAGCGGGCAGGGGAGCCGGGCACGGTGCTGGGCCACCGCGTGCATGGGGTTTTGGGCTACTGCCATCCCCCTGCCTACACGTTGGAGGGACTTTTCTCAAGCTGTGCCTTTTGACTAGTTTGATGAAACCGGTTCTGGAGCAGGACGCTGCTGAACAATTCCCCTGTGGATCCCCTCCAGCGACAGCACCAAGCTGCCAAGCACTGGCGATACTTGTACCCGGTGGCCTCGGCGCAGGTCCAGAGCATCCATCAAGGTGCTGTTTTTTTATTCCCCCTCTGGGAGCATTTCAGAGGGGCTCATTTTGTTGGCTCTTTTAACGCCGTCATGCCCAGTGTGCCTCCCTGCTCCCCTCCTTCCCGCAGTCGGGGCTGGGAGGTGGTTGTTTTAAGAGCGTATTGTGACCGGGAGCGCTGGGACTCCTCGGGCAAGCTCCGCTGCTGCCT